AATTTGGAATGCTCTACGTTTGAGTTCGGTCCATCATTTCTAAACAAATTTTAAATATGTATAAACTTTGATCAGTGTTGGGGTCCCTAAAAAATTTCTAAAGAAAAGTTGACATGTGCCTCTTTGAGCGTTTAGATCCTTGCATGTCACTAGAAATTTTTTTTGGATATGGAATTTGGCTTTTCTGGAGGCTTCTTGCCGTGCTGAATATACTGCAAAATTTTACATATGTTCATCTATGGCTTGATGGATGCAAGAGTGTGAAGAAGAATGACAAGGAAATTGCAAATAAAATTTTTACTTGCTATCATTACTAGCCTGATTGAATTTTGAGCATAACCTTATTATAATTTTATCTCAGATAATAAAAAAATTAGTGGGATTATTAGACATGATTTTTGAATATGTTTTTAGCCTAAAAGGATATGTGGATATATGGTGGATTGGCGTTGATTCTTATATTGATAGAGGGCCCTTCTCTCTTTTGTAATGCCTTAACATGATTCTCTACCTTTTTATCTATTTGCACGCGCATTATGTCATCACCAAAAGGGAGTTCCATTTTTAGGTATTTTGAACTTTATATTGAAATCCAATAAAAAATAAGAGAGTATATATTTGTTTGTTACTTATTTGTTGTGAGAAATTTTAAAAATTTTCGCAGGCATTTAAAATGATCTCATGTCGTGTAAATTAATAAGATTTCACAAATATGAGAGCAAAATGTATATATTAAAATTAATTCTCCTTTTATAATCCAAATTAATAATTTTATTAAGTTTCATGTGAGATTTTTGAATCTCTGTAGACTTTTAAAATAATCATATTATTGTATGAGTCAATAAAACTCTACAGATATAACGATTAAGTTTTTAATATGTGTGTGTGTGTATATATAAATTATATAATTAATTACATTAAAAATGTATTTAAATAAATTTAATTCCTTTATCGTGTGAGATTTTAAAATCTCCGCAGATAATTAGGATAATCATATTACCGTATGAGCCAATAAGACTATGCAGGTATGATGATTAAAATTCTCTAAAAAACATATATATGCATGCTTGAATAAATTATTACTAATATATAAATAAATTAATTCTTTTATTGTGAGAGATTTTAAATCTCTGCAGATATTTAGAATGACTGCATTATCATATGAGCCAATAAGGCTCTACAGGAACTGTGATTAAATTCTCAATCGTAAAATATAAAAAAATAATTTTAAATCCTTTTCTTTTCCAAAAATTCAAAAATTAAGAAAATAATTGAAATTAAATTACTTTTGCTGCAATTTAAAACACACATATCAAAAATTTTAGAAATTGTTTTATTTGTAAAATGGTGAATTATTTCTAATTAATTTTTTTCTTCAAAAAAAATATATTTGCACTAACAAATTTTTGAAACCTGAATTACGTGGACTTTGATCCCCATCACAGGGTGCGTAGGCCTCAGAGTCAGATTCTGAGTCAAGTTCTCCCCGTAAATAAATAAATATTTCTCGCTTAATTCTTATCATTTTTTATATCAAATACATAAATATAAAAAGGGATAATTAAAATAATTTTAAAACTATATTAATATATCACAACAAACTTTAGGTAACCGTTCTCACGAACGGGTGTTGTGGGGTGCCTAACACCTTCTCCACACTCAACCAACTCTCGAAGACTATCCTTATCCTTCTTTAAACGATTTCCCGAGATTTTCCTCAAAATCTTGGTGGCGACTCCCATTTTTCGGTCTTCCATCCGAAGGTCGGAACTTTCGCTCTCGCGTTGTCCGCGTCGCATTTCCGAGTGCGACAACAAGTCATCATGATAATAATAATAAGGATAGTTCCATATAATCAATCTTACTAATTGATAGAGAGGTGAGAGGAGACAAAGTCAGAGGGTGAATAAATGGTAAATGTTTAGGAGTGCCTTTCATTCATCAAAGGATGAATAAAGACATGTTTAGAGAGACAGTGGAAAAAGTGAAGGACAGGTTAAGTAAGTGAAACCCATCTTCACTTTCTCTTACTGGGCGCACGATTCTAGTTTCCATAGTCACATCGGCTATCCTTAGTTATGTTATGCAAACCTCTCTTCTTTCAAATACGACATGCGAGACTCTAGACAAATGTAACCGAAGCTTCTTATGGGGTAGTTCTTCTGGGAAACATAAAATTCACCTAGTCGTGTAGTATAAGGTGTGTTTTGTAAAGAAGAAAGGAGTTTGGGTTTGGGTTTAAGACATATGAAGGATCAAAATTTAGCTCTCCTTATGAAACTTGGGTGGGGCCTCATTCGAAAAAAAGATGACTTGTGGTTAAGGTGATTAGAAATAAGTATAAATATAGGGATGATGTAATCCCACAAATCGATGCCAAATGTTCAAGGTTTAATGTTTGGGCAGGAATAAAAGCCTCCTATAAATTGGTACAATTAGGACTAGAGCGTAATAGTAGAGGCGATGACGTGAGTGGAAATGGGAGAAAAGTGGTGAGTTTTCAGTTAAGTCTACTTATGACGTGATTTCAACATTTGAGTCTACTACGAATTGTTTTGAGAAACTATTGGAAGATTAAAGCCCTGGAGAGATGTAAATCATTATTGGGTCTGGTTTCACAAAATAGCCTCCTTATAAATATATCGCGAAAGAAGCGAGGAATTTGTGATGATGATGCCTATGTTAGTTTGTCATCTTGGGCTAGACGATATTCTCCACGTTCTTTGAGACTGTCAAGATACAAAACGAATGTGGCATAAGATCTTAAACCTTCATGCCTGGTTATAAGTTTTTCCATTTACCTTTGAATGAGTCAGTTCAATGGAATATTCGCTCAGGGGTTAATAATGTGAATATGGATTGGGCGGCGGTGTTTACTATCATCCATTAGTGGCTTTGGAATGCGTGGGGAACGAGCTAATTTTCTGAAGACAACCGACTAATTGGACACAATACCTAGACATGCTATTCTTCAGGCTCTCAAGAACTTCATATAATGCTGATGAATGAGACTATCCCAAGAGTAACGCCTTAGCAGGACGTAGGGTCGGTTTTTGGTTTTTCTTATATATATCCAAAAAAAAAAAATACATATGATCAAAGAAGAGATCTTCCATGGCCGATTGACGAGGCTTTTGTGTTGAAATAATCTCTTCACTTTTGCTGCCTCCCTCTCTTCATCTTCGTAATCGCCCTCTCCTTTACAAGACACTTGAATGACTTATCATTGGACTCTTTTGTAATGGTTTCAGTTTTCCTTAATTAGCTTATGACGGCAAATTAATTAAGATTGAGATCATTTGAATTACCCACATTTCTTGATGCAGAGTTTTAATTCATATGATTTACATTACAAATTTCTATTCTAGCCACATTCTGTGTATAGTCACCCTTACAAATTTAACTGTTCATTGCATTACTATAGATATTATTATATATTTCTAGTTAATATGTTAATGATTCATTAACGGTGGGTGAGTGGACAAACAATATTCATGAAACGTAGAATTAGGCATCCCTTCAGTTGCCACCTTCAGTACTGTATCAATTCGCTCCATAACTATGCATTCGTGCTCCATAATCACCCTTTAATTTTGAATCTAGCTGGTTTGTTGAGCTTGCCTCTGATCGCTTTCTGTTGACCTGTGACTCAATAGACTGTATGTGTCTGGTTCAGAAATGGATACCGAAGGCATCGCAGGCCCGATGATGACTCATCCAATACGTGCTGTGCTTTTTAAAATCCCGCTCAATCACGTAAATACTTCCAATAATAATCATTAAACCCTTTAATTTTCTGTAATTTCATTTAAGGCTTTGTCTGGAGGAACTCACTGTCCAGGCTAGTATACATAGGGCCCTAGTGTGACATTCTAAAGAAAGCTAGAAAATAATTAAGAGATTTCCTTTTTCAAAAGTGAGAGTGTTTAATTTTTCTCTCTTTCTTGAGTTTTATATCATTTTTGGATATCAGAACCAAGGTTTCAGAGTTAACCATGGTACACTTAGCCTTTTTATAATTACAAAGAAAACAGGTGGGGGGGCATAGACACAACAATAAAATAAATACTCCTTGTCCTATCTTTATGGCAAAGAGAGTGGACTTTCACGTCCTAAAATTTTAACGTGATCAACATGCGATATATGTATAAATTCACATTCTCTAGAGCTTCAGTTAAAAAAATTTTTGAATTAATGTAATAAATTTTACTTTTCACATAAATTAAAATATCAAACTTTCTTTTTTTTTTTTTAATTTCTGCAGCACCTCCCCTAAAGGTAAAGTCCTCCGAAATTTCTACACCAAAAAGTTTACATCATATATCCAACAATAGAGCTTTGTTTCTCACAACATCAAGTAATTAACATAAAAAAAATCAAGACCCTAACTATAGTTGATGTGGAGCACTCTAAATCAAACTTCCAAAAGATCCTACATAAGTTTTCAAATTTTACATGAATAAGATGATATTCTCAAAAGTAATCTTCTAATCAATTCAGCAACAAGCTCATCAGAGATCAGCAATGAGTATGAAATCAGCTATGGTATCTGAGGCCAAATAAAATACTTTCCAGTGAATAACGTCCTAACAATAAATAATGAAATATGAATAAAAAGAAAGGTTTGAAATAATATGTAAGTTAAATAGACAACAATTTCCATAAAAAATTAATAAACTTCAAAATAAAATGGCTATATAAAATTTTAAAATAAAATCTTAAATCATTAAACTATCATAACAAATACCACTTGATTTTAAGAAAACACATAAATAATATAAACATTTGTAAACAGTTTACTAAATAAAGACCAATGGGATATAAAATCACCAAATAATCAAATTCATAATTTTAGGGACTTATCAGAACAATAAACAAATGTGAACACACATCCACGAGGGTAAATAATCGAACGCGGCTTATGCTACAAATACAAATGTAGACACACAATCCACGAGAATAAGTAACCAAACGCAGCCAAAACCACAAAACAAATGTGGACACACAGTCCACGAGGGTAATGTTAACCAAACGTGGCTTGGAGCCACGAAATCAAACGTGAGTACGATGCTCACGATTAACTATCCCTCCGTTCCACGTGCGTTGGCCATTGCACGAGGCTAGCACCTCCTATAAACACCCTACTAACTAGATGTACCATGGCGCACCAAGGGTTAACGGAACTGCCGTTAGCAACCAGTGTTCTGTATAAAGTCCCCTTGAAATTCATTTTCAAACATACAAGAAAATCATCACTTTTAAAATAAACTTTTCTCTTCTCAATATCAAACTTTCATGAACTGTTTAAAATATCAATCCTTTAAAATATGAAGATTCACAACTAACATTCCATAAATTTCTTCACCCATTTTCATGATTGTCTATTGAACAAAAGAGTACTAGAATTTATAAATGCATTTCTGCCAATCTTATAAGTATAAATCATAATAACTTCAAGAGCTAAAAAACTTAATCAACAACATTAATCATTGCTAGAGTGGCATATATTAATGACTTTAAATTATTGAAAATAATAGTTGATAAAAGAAAATTTTTAAATACATAATTGATTGGGACGTTATCCACTTACCTGTAATACATTCAAAGCTCAAACTCACTTCTTATACTCCAATCGAGCTGCCCATCTTACAAACACCTTATAAAACATAATAAGATCTTAATATACTTTACTTTTGAATCAACAATTTCCTTTCCAAGAGAGCCTACTCAACCAAAATTAACTATAATAACTTTGAAGTTTTTAGACCACAATTCACACATAAAAGTTTATTCAAAACACTCAAGCCAAAGTTAACTACTCACTTAAAATTTAATCGCTTCCTAAGCTTTATGCCCTACATCTAATGTGTAACATTCTAAACTATACAATAGAACTTTGTAATCTTTAATTCTCTTGCCCAACAATTTCCAACATCCAAATATAACTTCCGAAACATTAACATATCTTATATATTATCCGCCATAAAATCTTTAAGAATTCAAAACTCAAATTAGACCCCAATAACTTCTTAAATATATTCCTTCAAAAAAAAATCAATTTATTTTTTATAATAAATAATGCCAAAACCAATAACAATGTTATGGATGCATATTCAAAAAAAATTCTCCATTTTATCAAACATCTCATATGCATCAAACTTCAAACAAATACCAAGCCTCTTGCTTAATTTCCTTTCCAAAATTTCCCCATATTAATATTTAGATTAATTATGCTTCGTAAGTTTCATTCTTTTAACCAAATCAAAATAAGCTAGTTAAAATTCAAATCTAGACTACTTCATTTAGCTCCAATAATCTAAAAATTTCAACTTGTCCAAATCCCTCCTTCTCTATTTGAGCATACCAGCACAGCATAACAGAATAAAAGAAACAAAAATATCATAATCTTCATCATTGAATTACACGCACAAAGACAACAAACAAGAAGGGAGAAGCTCATACGCACTTGAAACAGAGGAAGACGATGAATGAGGGACTCGATGGCAATACCAACAACAGTGCATGGATAGAAGAAAGGATCAGCTCTACCCCACGCAATCGATGCCGGTGAGGAAAAGAGGAACGGTCTTTGATCTGCTACAGCGGTCAGGGAAGAAGAGCAGAAGGAGACGGCAGAAAAACCTGAACGAAGTGAAGCATAGTAGAGGAAGGTGGTGGCAAGTCGAATCCTTGCCACCCACGCCGGTGACACTAAGAACAGAGGAGGGAGAAGGATCCGACACCCACCGTCAACAAGGGCAGTTTCTTAGCTGACACAATAGGGGAGAAGGCCGATAATCACTTCGTCGGGACAACTTGTAGCGGCGGAAGATGACACACCACTCACCAGCGAAGGAGGAAAGCCAAGCAAGGAGGAGAATGAAGGCTCAAATCTGGATCTCACTCTCTCTCGCGTCTCTATCCGCTATTTCTGATTCTGACGGACTAATGAAAAACGAAAAGAAAATGGTCCAGGAAAGAGAAAAAATCTGATTGCTTTTGAGGTCAAAATAGTAAATTTGCAAAGCTGAAACCGACATATAAAAAAAAAATCTTTTTTTTTTTGAAAGAGTAATCTCACCTTGTAGACCTTGTACCTGATGCGTATTAGAAATTTTACCAAACCAACATTCTTTCCTAATAAAAATAACTTTTTTAAATTAATATAAATATAATTAAAAATATTATTTCATATTTAATTTTATTAAAAATTTTAAATTATTACAGTGACCGTTTTGATTATATTTATAAAACACTTTAATTTTTATTATATTTATTTTTATTTTTTATCTTATTAAATATTGAGAAAATTATTAAAAATTATAGTATTTTATTTTTAAAGTATGTATATTTAGTAGGATTAAAATTGAAATTTTATTAAATTTTAAAAAAAAATAATGAAATTTAATATTTTTATTTATTTTGATAAAAATAATTAAAAGTACTAACTTTTAAATAAGATCAGGAGCAGATATTAAAGGTGTGGCCCAGGGCAACTTTAATAATAGCAACTTCTGCGGCCAACTTTTATATGGATCGGGCTTCATAATGACCCGAGCCCTTATGGGCTAAAATTATCAGGGTGTGGCCCTAACTCTAACTTCATTTCAGTGTCTTTTCTTGGTTGGAACAAGAAAAGGAACCAAATTATGTCACGATGTAAGTTAATTGGTAAATCAGCGTAGAAACCTCCAGCCAATGGTTGCCAAATATCGACATTAAGATCAGCAGGCTCATTAGATTTTTGGGTTGCTGCTGCTGAAATCTCATGACCACCCCAAAGTGTTGATCCATTATCCAGTGACATTCTAAAATCTACGAGAGGTTGAATGCTCTTGCAATCAAATTCTGCAAGTGATCTCAAGATCGAAATGCCAGGAACAATAATGTTGCTCCTAATAATCTCATCTTTCTGTAATGTCACTTGTGTCAATAATGACCAGCGTGTCATGCCATTGGGAACTCTTGTAAATCCATCACCTGTACGGCTGCAACATTCCTCTTCTGTTCATATCACCTCTTCAATCTCCAACGCCCTCCATTTTGCACCATCAGAAATATGATAATCTGTAACTTCCTCTGTTATTATCTTCTGATCTTCAAGCCCCAATATGTCTCTTGGTGCGACGGTCGGATCATTCATGTTTATATCCTTAGGCTGCTCAACTGTGTGATGTTCATGAGAAGAGATATAGTCGTAGTGTTTGTTGAAACTGCCAAACTCAATGGGAAGATCTAACCAACGAATTGGAGTGACGAAGGGAAGTAAAGACGAAAAGTTCAACTTTGCATTGTCCATGCACTGATCTGGCCACGATGATATCTCCCTGAATGATACAGAGACAAGCTTAATCCGAAACCCGGAGAAAGTATTGGCGTGGCTAGAGATGAAGAGCTTCACAGTGAATTTATGGAATGACAAGTTAATCAGATCCAGAAAATTGTAGGTAGCCACTAGACCTGAGCTTGTCTCCTTAATATTGCCGCCAATGTTTATGAGTCTAATCTTTTTGCAGTCTCCAATGGACAAATGGGAAAGCTTGCTCAGGATACTTGAAGATTGAATCTGAGCCAAATTCCCACATTCGTCAAGATATATCATTCTGATATTGGGGACATGAGAGAGATCTGGAAGATCAATGAGATGTTTCGAGCCTATTAGATTCATTAATTGTAAATTTGGGAAATGCTGAAATGAGAAAGAAAATAAATAAATCAGAAAATTAAATCTACAGTTTAATCATCAAGTTACTCTCTCATGAGAAAGGAGAGACTGTAAAAGATGTTAATTAGTTAATGAAATGTAACAAGAGACACAATCACGCACACATGTACAAATAGTAAACGGATGATGTCAAAACTTGACAAGCAATATTTTTAAATTTTTAAATATACACACAACAGATGCACTTATACATATCCTATTGAAAGTAATCTTATTTGAGCTCGGATCATGCGCTAAATGTGGCTAGGAACCTTTAATTTTTTTTAATGGAATTCAGCATTGCTTTATCACATTGTATCCCTTTCATTAGACCTAGTTCCATTGATTTCAAATATATATATATATATATATATAAATATATTCACTGTTAGTCAGTTATTTAACTAACAAAAAGTGGTAACCAATTAGTAATACTTTCTCAAGTTTTGTATCATGTGCGTGCAAAACCAAATATAATAAACTTTATATTATATATATATATATATATCAACCTTTAATATGTTACATTTTTATTAGAGATATAAAATACCAATCATTAAGGGAGTTATCTACATAATTTGAAAGTTTAGGAGTTTATTGTCAAATATTAAACGGTTAAGAAAAATGTTTGTACGAAACCTAAGAGAGAACTTATATATGGAAAGTGTAAGATTTTTTTATTAATGAAAAAATTAGTCTCATACAAATATTTAATAATTAATCATTTCTAGTTATTATAGCATATGAACTTCGAGAAAAATGGCCCTCCGGAATTAATTATATTGGGAGAATGACAAGTAAGGCCATCTCAAGGAACTTTATCCCAACAAGCTAAGAATCCATAAGTTCTAAGGGAAACCCTAACAAAAAAAAATATAAATTAGGATTCAGATTTTAACAACAATATATACTTATTTTTACAAGATAATATTCAATAAAAAATTTGTGAGCCTTTATTGGGATAAGATCCTTTCAGAGGGCCTTAAGTGTCATTCTCCCTTAATTGTTTGAAGGATATTTGTTACACCAGATATCATTTACAACTGAATAACAATTATATATATAGTCACAAATAACAATTCTATATATAAAGATATAAAATGCAATACATGCCTGATCTCCATCCCAAAGTTGTTGCAGATGATTTTGAGGCATTTCTAGTTCTAGAAGATTGTCTGCACAAAAGCTCAACGGTACAGATGGCAGAGGATATTCTTCCCAAAAGAGACACCTTAACTCTTCTGGAAGATTCTCTAGACCCTCAAAAATATACACTTTTGGAGGCTCTTTTAAATCAGATTTGTAAAATTTCAGAAATTTCAATTCATACATCTTTTGGAAGGCATCAGGTGGCAATATAATCCTTTTTGTCCTGCTCATGTCCAAAGATATGTACCGAATGGTCCCACATCCCTAGTCAGAAAATTAAGGAAAGCAATTATAACTATTATTGTTATATGAAATATTACTAATTGAAAGGATCAAAAGATAATTAAATCTATTTCTCTTTTTAGAAGTCTAAATGAGTATAATGCTATTGTGTACTATCATAAGTCTCATATCAAGGATTCTCACAAGTAGAGTAAAATTTATAAGTATGAGGGGCTTTCACCCCTAATATAGGCTAGCTAGTTTTTTTGGGACGAGATCTTCTTTCAAACTTATACTCATAACATTAGCATTTTTATTGATAGTCAGTGTCATAAAAAGAGCTATCCACAAAGAGTTTTAATTAGCAGGAGGCTGAGCAAAGTGCCGTGGCCCCGGGAAGATTTTGGGAACTTTGGCTCTTGAATGGGGTAATAATGTCATGAGTCCCACATTAGTGATCATCATAAGTGGAGTGGGGTTTATAAAAATATGAAGGGCTTTCCCTCCTAATATGCTAGTGTTTTTGAATGAGTTCTTTCTTTAAACTTATATTTATGATATTGGTATTTTCATTGAAGTCAATGTCATGGAAAAGGGCTACTCTCGAATAGTTACATCTTGACTGACAGAAAGTCAAGTAAAGTGTTGTGGCCATGAAAGTCATCTCTTGTACAGGATAGTAATGTCATGAGTCCCACATTTGTGATTCTTACAAGTGAAGTGAGGTTTATAAGTACAAAAGGCTCTTTCCCTCAAAGGATAAGCTCTCTCTTTAAATTTTTGCTCATGACATGTACCTTAACAACCTTAAAAGCATGCTTTAGACAGGTACATATAATTGGGAAAATTTGAAATCAAAGAAGGACGAAATTAAGAGCAAATTGATGAATCAGTACCTTGTTATTGATGAAGAAATGATAAATATCCCTGTGCCTCCATAGTCGAACGGGTTTTTCAGGATCAATGAGCAATTGTTGTCTAGAAATTTCAAGGCTCGTTTCTCTTACAAGATCATGCATCTTAATCTCATCAGATTTATCAATGGAAATGAGAGATAGGTCTTTGAGAACAATGATATCAATATATGCAGAGGAGTCGTAGAAATCTACAATGAAGTTCAAAGATATCTTACTTGCCTCCCTCAATAAATATGCTAAATCGTGAAATATATTCTTCTGGTTCACATCAAGTCTATCAAAACTCAATTTGAGCACATTAAAAACGTCTTTGTGTGGAGCTTGTTTTAATTTTTCCAGCGCACTTTCCCACTCTTGTTTTGTTCTACCATACAGAAATCCACCCAACACTACAAGAGCTAAGGGGTTTCCATGACAATAATCCACTACCCACTTTGATAACTCCAAATAGCTTCCAAATGGCTCGTTTTGCTTAAACGCTTTTAAACTGAACAAATGTAAGGCGTCATTGAATTCTAATTCTTGAACATGATATGTTGAAGATGCAGAAGCATTTTTTAGCACTTGCGTGTCTCTTGATGTAATAATAACTCTACTTACTTCTCCAAACCAATCACACAATATGGCTAAATCTTCAGCTGTTATTAAATTATCAACATCATCAAGGATCAAAAGAATCTTTTTGCGTCCAAGACTATGTTTCACAAAAGTGGATTTCATGTTGTAGATGTGAATGTCATCGCCTTTTAATAAGTCTTTAAGGCATTTTTCCCGTAACCTGTCGAGTCCATTCCGTTGTAGTTGTTCCCTTACATTTTCAACAAAGGAGAAAGCTTCAAAATGCGCTTTCAACTTGTGAAATGCAACTTTAGCAAGGGTGGTCTTACCTATACCACCCATGCCCCAAATTCCCACCATGCGGGTCTCAATCAATAGTTCTTCAATTTTCCAAGTTGAGGATTAATGCCTACTAGTCCTTCAAGGTCACATAACGACATGCTATTCAATTTGCTCAATATATCTTTGACAATTTTTTCGATGAATTCTGGCTCAGTGCTAGCACAAACGCATATTAAAAGTAAGCATAATCAATAGACAATAAAATAAAGGATTAAATGACATATTTGTAAATAAACTATAAATCTAAAAATATCTGGAACCTTAAACTCATTTTTTATGCAATATTTTTCTTCAACTTTTAAAAATGATGTAATAAAAAAATTATAGAATATAACCTCAAAAATTATATTTCTCGATCATTTTCTATATTTTTTGGATCTTTGTCTATAATTTGGGTCTTTATCTATAATTTTGTTGGTAAAAATTTTATAGTAATATTTTGTAGGGTACTTATTTATAATTTCTATGTCATTTTCTAAATCATAATATAAAGTATCTTCTAAAAACTTTGTCTATTCAAAATATAAGATATTAAATAAATTTTATATTTATTTGGGTTAAAGTGTAAATTTATCTTTAAATTTTTTTTAAAAGTGTAATTGATATTCTAAAATATTTAAAAGCACAGCATTATCTAACGTTTCTCAAAACGATACAATTTAGCCCCAGACTAACGGATTGATTTTTGACCGTCACTTTGACTTTTATATGTCACATGGCATATATTTTAGAAATTAAAAAATAAAAAAACACATGGCATTCATCATTCCCATTCTTCTCTCATTCCCCGTTTGTATACCCATCACTCCAATCTTCGACGCTGCTGATGAAATGGTAGAGAGGTTATCCTCTCCCTCTCTCTAACTTTGCTGGTAGGGGAAGAATATCAAATTTGGAGCAATTGAAGAAGAGCTGTCGCAATGAAGTTGGTTGTGGGATGGCGAGACGATGTGGCTGTGGACAACGCGACTGTGGGAGACGGAGAGCACGGATCTGGAGTCGAAGAAATCAGCTACAGCGTTTCAGCGGAGCGAAACTCGGTGAGATCGGAGAGGATAACAAAATTGGTGCTAGAGCCAAAAAGTAGATGGTTAGGCCAAGCTAAAACCATATTCTAGTAACCGACCAAGATAAAGTCATTTTCTGGGCTGTCGATTATTGATTATAGATCTGAGTTGTCAATTTGCAATGAAATGGGGGTGCTTTGTTTTTGTATCTTTGTAGATCTGGCCATTGATTCTAGAAACCGGCCAAGCTAAAGCCATATTCATCAGTTCATGGACGATCAGAAGATGAAGATGGGGATGAAGCTCAAAATGGGTTTCTTGCAATTAGATTGTAACTGGTATGCATTTAGATTTTGTTGATTCTTCTTGTATTCACGGGTTTGGGTTTATGTGTTATATTTACACCTGAGAGGATGCAAACCTTCATCATTTGTTTTCCCTGCAAATCGTGAAGAAGAAGAAGAAGGGAACAAGAGATTTGATTGGTGGAGGAAGGAGATTAAGATGATGTGGTGTGTTGTTTGAAAAGTCAAAAGAGTGAAGAAAACGGATAAAAATGCATGGTGGCAGCACTGTGTGGGACCCACTTGATGAAGCTAACACCGATTGCTCTTCAGTTAAGTTGGGGCGAAATTTTACCATTTTTAAGCAATATTATATCTTTAAATATTTTAAGATATCAATTGTATCTCTAAAAAACCTTAGTGGGCAAATTTATATTTTAACTCTATTTGATTTTCAACTATATCCCTTCTTTATTTATTATTTTTTTTAAAAAAGTATGTATTAAAATTTTAATTACTATTATTGAAACTTTTATATAAAGTATTTAATAAAGATATAAATAAAAAATATAAAATTTTTTAAGAATTCAAGATTTTAATTAAAATTAATTAATTATAACTTATATTGTAATTTACATAGAGTATTAAAGTTAGCTAAGTAGTTTTTTTAATTATAAGGCATCTGATATTATCATTTTTAAATGCTAAAGAAAAAAATTACATCACAAAGAAGCTTACAATAACCCATAAAAAATTTAGCAAAAACCATTTTGATGATACCCATAGTTTCTCTTAATTTTTAATTTGGTACCTCTATTTTTTTTTTTTTTTACTTTTTATTCACTCCTTCAACTTTCCACTGTTAAAGGCGTTAGCCCCTGTATTGCAAAATTGCTTAAGGGACGAACGGCAGAGAGAGGACGTTAAACCAAACTCAAGCTTCTCCGCACTGCGGTCTCTCCTCCTCCTCCTTTTTCCCACTCGGCCTTCGTGCTCTAACTCAAGCTTCTCTGCAATGTTGAGAACCTATATCAATAAAACAGAGACACCATGCATCAAAAGCTTTGCATCTTTATAAACATATACACACCTTTTTCTTGGTGCAGCATTGTTATCAAAGCTAAGTGAACAAGCTGTGAACCAGATATTTTGTTGCATTCTGCATTTAACCCTTGCTACAGGCCAAGCATCTAAGCCAAAGTCAACTGAGAGTGTCTATGCAAATGTGAGTCAAAATAAGATACAAAATTGGTTAAGGGAAAAAAGAAATGTTGGTTATCTTTGTTGGAAGATGAAGAAGAGAGATCAAGTGAGGAAGCCTCCCAAAGACACGCATAATGATGCACTGAACTTGATGTCCTCAATCTTCGAATCGTCCCTCTTGTTTCAATAACCTCAACTCTCTCCCCTTCACCTCTTGTAATTCTTTCTGAGTGTGATGGAGCTCCTCTTTCAGTGACTGGATGCAGTGAGACATGGCTTTCTTCAGGCTCTGTTTTTCTTCTTGGATCTCAGCCTTCAATTTGGCTTCCCTGTACTGAACACTCCTAGTCTCATTTTAGGCTGCTTGCATCTAGTCAGCTAAGATGAAATGAAGGTGAATGAAGGAGCAGGGAGATAGAAAGAAAATGAGGGAGGGGATGAGTAAGAACCCATTGAAACTTGGGAGCATAGAGTTGCCCATCTCATGATTGTAGATTGCCCGGTTGCATGAACGAAGGTCCCGAATCGCCCTATCTCTAGTCGCACACGAGCCCTCCCCCTTTCAGACTTTCTGGTTTAACGTCATCTTGTCCTCGGTTCACCCTCAGGATATTTTCCAATTACAAAGGGCTAACATCTTTAACGGAGGAAACAAAAAGAGAAAAAAGTAGAGGTACCAAATTAAAGAGGGAAATTATAGGTACCAACAAAATGGTTTTCCCAAAAATTTATAACTACATTAATGTCGGTGATTGCTGGTCCAAAAGTCAAACCAAAAAATTCTAATCCTTCAAAAAGAAACTAAAAATTAAAAAACGAGAACAATTTTTTAATGTTTCCTTACTTTTTATTCTGCCAAATTAATTAAAGAAAAGTTAGAGAACATTACGTTTTCATTAAGAATAATTATGTTAATAAAATAAATCATTCGTAATTTCATCCTTCATTTTACCACTTTAGATATGTTTTTTAGGATAATAATTTAAACAGGTTTTTTTTTTCTAAAACTTGTTCTAATTTTTTTTTGTACGACATTGTTTTAAGAATATAAAAATAGAAAACACAATCAACTAAACTCGAAATCTCTCCAGGTTTGATTTTTAATTTAGGAATTCCTTTCATATATTCCTTTTAGTTTTAGTTTCCAAATAAAAGTACACTCATTCCTTACACTTTTTGGCCAATGCTTAATTCCTTCCATTGTCAAATAAAAATCATGGTCCTTTCATGATATTTTAATAATTCGAGATCTTCAATTCTTGTTAATTACTTCACAAGGTCGGTCGTTATAAAAATAATTTAAGAAAATTATATATATATATATATATATATCATTTAAATATATCAATAAAAGATGTGTGCAATGCATATTACATTGATATATATATATATATATATATGGGGCAAAATTTGGAAATGCATCGGATTCTTTTTTGGATGTGAGTACAGATTTATATACACAGGTTTTTTCTTCAATTGAGTATCCGGCATTATAGGCCTAACTCACTTTGAGCTCAGGAGATTTTAATAGAGCTTAGATTAATTCGGATCAAAGTGACTGGGAACTCTTTCAAGTTCCAATGAAAGATCAACCACCAGCCTTTCACAATTCTTTATAAGTAGGGTATGATATTCTGATCTTGTATATGAGAGAAAGTGTTTCTAATGACGATGCTTTTAAGTAATAGGAGAAAATTGAGAAATTTCTTTTCCTTTTAAATTATATTAATTATATTAATTATTCAGGAAAAACTTATATATTTAGCATAATATATTTAAGGTAATTGTTTCTAATTAAATTAAGATATGTGGATCTTTTATAAAGTATTTATTCCATAACTAACTCTTTCTAATTTATTACTATTTTTAATACATTGAAATCACTTGCTTTGATTTGATTGGATAAGAGTATATTAAGCATATAAAATTAAGTATATAAGTCTTGTTCTAATCAAATCATAACAAGTGGATCTGAATGTATTAATAAAATTAATAACAAGTATTCATTATAAAATAAATAATCTATAAAAGATCTACATATTTTGATTTAATTAGAAACAATCACACCAATTATATAACACTGAATATATGAGTTTTCCAACACATCCCATAGCTGCATGCTGCATTCAATTAATGACTAGTCTCCCTGAATTTTTTAAGTACAAAAAATCTCCATTTTATTTTGCAGACAGGGAATGATGAATCGGACCCTTATTTACAAGTCTTGTCTATAATTATTTTTTTTCCCTTGAGGAAAAGTCAATTCATTAACCAACAAGTCAAGGGGTTACATGCATATAACACTGAATAAATGACCATAAGAAACCAATAAGAGAACGTACGTACAGTGACTTGCAACAACAGATTGAAACAAAGAGAACATGCGAGAACTCATTAATCAAGGAAGAGACCGAGGATCGTTCAGTCGTTATGACAGTGGTCATCGTTTGCATCTGGTAGCGGTGGCCATCGGGAACAGGAGTATAAGATTCTTGATCTGGCGACACTGTGAGAGAACAGAAGCACTAAAACCAAAGCAAGTTTCCATATAAGCTTCTTAAGGTTACCCATCTTCACTGACATTGAAGCACAAGCTAATTTCAAGCCCCGTGTGTGTGCGCGCGTGTTGTGTGACTTGAGGTTAGGTGCTGTATGCTATATGTACAGATAGACAGATCATGTGTTTGTTAGAACTAATAAATTATATGTACCCTAATAATCTTCGTCAATGTATATAGCATTATCTTTTTGACTTTTGAGCCTTCTCCTATATATATATATATATATTCATATATAATTAGACAGATTTTTCCTATGTTGTGGTGGAAGCTTAATCCTTCTAGAAAAGATTAGATGGATTAAAATCCTTCCTTCCTCTAATTCAAAATATAAAATATAAAATATAAGGTAAATGAGCAAACTGGCATTTAAACTTACGGTTCAATAACGCCATAGATTCTAAACTTATTTATTATGTAAATTATTTTCTTAACTTTTGAAAATGATGCAATTTTTTGTTGTCATTAACTAAAGTTAATTTTCTTTGTTAGTTAACTAAAAAATGATTAAAAAATAACCTTAAAAATTACAGAAAATGATCAAAAATTTTTTTATCATTTTCTATAATGTTGATGTTATTTTTTGTAATTGTTGGGTCCTTTATTATAATTTTTTTAGTTTTTTTATTATTTTCTAATTAACTAACAATCAAAATTAATTTTTGTTACAGATTGCATCATTTCAAAAATTGAGAAAATAATTTGCATAATAAATGAGTTCAAGATTTATGGTATAATTTGCTCATCTCTCCGTACACACACACACACACACACGAGATTTTCTATTGGTTAATATTGGTTCAAAATGCAGACGATTTTATGAAAATAAAATTAACGGAATTAAATTCTTCTTTTACACGTATGTCTATATTAATTGTACAGTAGAGAGGTTATATACAAAAATATTTAAAATAATTTATTTTAAATGAACTGTAATTTTAGATAGTGATAATATTTTACTATTTTGACAATACAAATAACTTTTAATTACTTTTCTTAATTTTTGTAAAGTAGTTAGAAGTGTTCTATATTTTGCATTGGGAGGAATAATATTCAAAAAGCAGAGTTGTTGGCCGTTTGGGAAAGTTAATAAAAATTTAAACATTGACACTTATTGGAATAAAAATATATTTTAAAATTTAAATTTAAATTAACATTATGCCATCAAAGTATTTAAACAATTTTAATATCCTTCACATTCCAACAACGATATTATCATGATCAAATCAAAGCCAATGTAAATGTGACTTATATATATTTTATCATACATACATTGGTATTGATGATAAATTACATTTTTGCCTAAACAATATATCTATTCATTTGATCATAGAAAATAACATAGGCTGATATTATATGATATTAACCTATGTTTAGAAAAGCTTTCCATTATTTCATGTAGTAGAAGAGACTTAATGAACTAGATAGCCTTTCCTCATGTAATATTGTTTGTACCTATTTTGAACATTTAAAACTACTCTTCTTAAATATCAAGAAAAAGGTTGGGGGAAAAAATTCAACATGTAACTCTAAAAACCCATTAAAACATCAAAGGAAAAAGTTTCTCCTATAATTAATTAGCTAGCCAGGAGCTAGAGGCAAATTTCATCACTTACCTAGACGGCAAACATTGACAATATGACATTAAACACAGGTACATTTAAAAACATACTTTTCATATTGAATAGTGTGTGGGTGTGGGTGTGGGTGTGAATGAATAATATGATATTGTTCATGTTTTAGAGAAGGGGATATAAAATGCATTGCTACTAGAAAGTGGATAGTATGAACACAATATTTTTCAGTGATATTGATTCCATGCAAACATCTAGGAAAAAGAGATTGGTTAATAGTATAAAAATGTGTGTAGCCACGTTGAGAATATTTTAGGAAAGTGTTGTTAAGAAATGAAATTTATAAAGTAATAAGTCGGTAAAAAGTAAAATTAAAGCAAAATGCGAAAAGACTGTGTGAAAGATATGAAGAGTTGACTTTGCGCTTCATCAAATTGCCATGTTTGTGATTATGATAATCCGAAACGACTACGTCGAAAGTCAAATTCTGTCACCTACAATGCCCATCTTTTTGACTATAGCTCGAGCTTTGATTTGTCTTCGTTTTGGATTTTATCAATCAATTTTTTTTTTACATGCATTAACACGAGTTGGATTAAATTAATTGGTCCCTGCAAATAATATCGTGATAGGAATTAAAAAAAAATGTTCTTTATAAAGTTTACAATCAATACAACAATAATACGCTGTTGGCAATTAAATTGTCTGTTTTTAATTTGCAACATGTCATCTTACCTCGCGATTTTACATTGAAAAAGTATACATAAGACCCATATACGTATTACTGATTTCAAAAAAAATTAAAAAATTGGGAAAAAAACCATAACTATTGCTTGAGCTTTTCAAAATTGTACTGGGAATTTTTAATGTTGTCATTTGTAATTTTAAAATTTAGAAAAATATAATGATCTAACGTAACCCAAAAGAATTGTTAACCAAGAGCACTAGCTTATTTCAAATAGGCGCGAACATTTTGAGTATGAGTCTTGTAAAAAGTGAAAATTACTGCTAATATAAACCATATGGTGAGGAATTAGGCGAAACTCAGCACGACTTTTAAAATTTGGTTTGCATACTAAACATAAAAAGCTTGAATTACACACACATACGAGACCATTGTACAACGAATCCTTCAAAATATATAGTGCAAAAAGAAAAAAAAACACACACACACACACACACTCTATAAGTTTTAAGAGATGAGTCGGTGGACACAAGGAGAAAGTAACATTTAATCAAGTTAAAATGGAAAGTGGCATCACCTATCCACTTATTCCTTTATCTAATAATTCTTAAAGACACACTTAGAAATAATTAAGGTAATTAAAGCCGAAGTAATTAAATGAGAGAAATAAAGGAAATGGACGGTGGAAATCTTTTATTGAAAGATAATCCTTAATTTTCAATTTTCTTATGCCAATGTCTAATCCCTCTTCTTCTTCATTCTAATTTAATTTAATGCCAATCCAATCTGTTCTCCCTTCCTCTAATTTCGTTCAGCATTGCCACCTATTGCTATTCAACCAAAGCTAATGTAACTTGGTGACATATAATCCCATTCCTTTTTTACTTAGTCTCTAATTTTGACATTCAATTCCCACTAATTCTTAGTTTAATATTATTTTAAAAATTTCTCATAAGTGAGAAATAGGTCTCTTTAACTTTATCTCACGTCGGCTTAGATCTTTTTCTTCTCACATATATGGTAAATTCAAATTTAACATCTTTTCGACCTCTCCTTTCTAAAATATTATTTTGATACCCAAAGTGTATAACTAGGACCAATTTGCTATGATTAGGATTCCCTCTAATTCACCGAATGATAACTTAGGGTTTTACTTGGTTAAAACTAATCATCTTTACAATTTAGTCTCTACTTTTGGTTCATTGATTTTCTTTTTCTTTAATCTTCTTTTGTACTCTTAGGCATCTCAAGAATTCCTTGATTGTTGGGATTTCTCTTTTCTATTTCACTTACCTTGAGTACATACCAAACCCCTCTTTTAGATTTTATACAATTTGAAAAAATAACCTACTAAATAAAATTTCTTGCTAATTATGTCCAAAAGCATCCACGTCTAACTTCTGAATGTTACGTCTATTGTATTATTTAGATCAAATTTAGACCGTCCAAATTTATTATTTAATTATAAGAGTGTTATTGAAATGTGAAAATTTAAGAATAAAAAAAATCTAAGGGCCTATTTTTTCTGTTTTTAAAAACTGTTTTTTGCTTTTTAAAACAAAAAAATTTAAAAATTTGTTTGTATAAGTATTTTTCATTTAGTTGTTTTCAAAACTGTTTTCAATTTTAAAAAAAAAAAAAAAAAAACAACTTTAAGTTATTTTTGTTTATTTTTCTTGTTTTAAAATCCACTACATTAGTTTATTAAAAATTATAGTTACCCTGACCAATTTCTATTATTAATCACTACCATTAACTGCATATAACCATTATTATCAGTTCATTTTTTAATTTTAATTTTTTTTTGTTTTCATACCTAATCAGATTTTCATTTTGTATTACAAAACAATTTTTAAAAACAAAAAATGAGAATAGAAACCAAACATGCCCTAAATTGTTAAAACTTAATCTAAACTTTTCAAATTATGGATAAGGAGAGAGAAATAGAGTGAAGCGAAAAAAAAAAAAAATCAGAATGAATGTGTGACAAGTTATTTAGTTAATACCCGATCCCGAACATTTGGATTCGTACGCCCTTGGTTGCCTCATCAGTTTTTTTTTTTTTTTTGCCCCCACCTCATCAAACCAATAAAAGTCAGATTGAAAGAGTAACTAACTAGGTAATTCAATTGCTCATGTCAAATGTGGAAGAATATATGTGAAAGCTGACTTTATGGTCATCTATTTGCAATATGAATATGAGAATCCAAAACACATCGAAAGTCAAATTTTGTCTCCTCTATTAATAATGTTATAACGAGGTCGAGCTTCATTGTTTTGAATTTTCTCCATTCCATGTTGCAGACAGAATAGACTTAATTTGTTTAACGCGAAGCATGCTCCTTGTGATAATTTGATTACTGCTTTTTAATTTCAACAAGGTAAGTGATATTTACTCACAATCTTAAGATAATCGATGAGGCTATAAAAAAGAGCTTTGCTTTGGACAGAAAAAACATATCTCCTCAACAATGAATCAACAAAAAATTTCATTCTTCCCAGCAATTTATCTTACTCTCTTGGTTTCTTTTTCACTATGCTCTTGCTTGCTCACTTCAGGACTTTCTGCAACTGAAGCTCTTCTCAAATGGAAACAAAGTCTCCCAAACCAACCAATCTTGGATTCATGGGTCTCTCCATCACCTCACAGCAGCATCAGTGCAGATCAATCCCCATGTTCATGGCATGGAATCAAGTGTGATTATTCTGGAAGTGTGGTTGAACTTGACTTGAGTCACACTGGTCTTCAAGGTACTCTTGAAAACTTGGACTTCTCAGCCTTTCCAAATCTTCTCCTTTTTAATCTCAAATTCAATCAACTGACTGGTCCCATACCAGAAACCATTGGGTTGCTCTCAAAACTCCAATTCCTTGATCTTAATCGTAATCATCTCAATGGCACTATACCTCTTTCTCTTGCTAATCTTACTCAACTCTATGAGCTTGACCTTTCATGGAATGAACTAACTGGGATATTAGATCCTCGTCTATTCCCTGATGGAACTGATGATCAACCCAAAATTGGATTGATAGTGATGAAATATCTTTTGCTCCAAGACAACTACCTTGGTGGAAAAATTCCAAATGAAATAGGGAATTTGAAGCACTTGACTATCCTATATCTGGATGCTAATATCTTTTATGGACCTGTTCCTCATTCTTTGGGGAACTGTACAAATCTAACTTCTCTCACATTGTCTGAAAACAAATTTTCAGGCATAATTCCCTCAAGTCTAGGTAGACTAACCAATCTAACTGTGATGCGTTTCCAAGAGAACCATTTTTATGGCCCTTTACCAGAAGGATTTGGAAACATTTCTTTTACTATCATGCTTCTATCTCAAAACAATTTCAGTGGCCAGTTACCATCACAAATATGCAGAGGTGGTAAGCTTGTCAATTTCACTGCAGCTAACAATAGTTTCTCTGGTCCAATTCCCATTAGCCTAAGAAACTGCCCTTCATTGCATAGACTTCGGCTTGAACATAACCAATTGACTGGTTATGTAGATAAGGATTTTGGAGTGTATCCTATTCTTACATTGACATCAGTTTCAATAAGGTGCAAGGTGAGCTTTCTGCAAATTGGGGTGCCAGCAAGAGCTTGCAAGCTCTTATCATGGCTGGAAATTCCATAGGTGGAAATATTCCCAGTGAGATCTTTCAATTAAAACAACTAGGAAAGCTTGACTTGTCTTCAAATCAAATATTTGGTGAGATTCCTCCCTGAATTGGAAATACCTCTAGCTTGTACCTTTTAAATCTGAGCAATAACAATCTTTCAGGGATGATACCAGTGGGAATTGGAAAGCTTTCAAATTTGAATTCATTAGATTTGTCCATGAACAACCTAAGTGGACCGATCCCTCATTAGATAGGGGATCTTTACAGGTTGTTCAATTTGAATTTGAGCAACAATAACTTCTCTGGCAAAGTTCCATACCAAATTGGAAATCTTGAGTTCTTGCAAGAATTTTTGGACTTGAGCTATAATTCACTTTCTGGAGAAATCCCCGTGGATCTTAGCAAACTCAACAGATTGATAAGCTTGAACATGTCTCATAATAATTTTTCAGGTCCTGTCCTTGATTCCATAACAACAATGTTAAGCTTGTCAAGCCTCAATCTCTCTTACAACATGTTAGAAGGTCCTGTACAGGATAGTAGAATTTTCAGTTCTCCTTACATGGTTGATTTGAGTCACAACAAAAAATTATGTGGGAGGATCCAAGGTTTGAAACCTTATAATGTCTCAATTATAAAACCACAAGGTGGAGATGATAACAAAAAGAACATTGCGATCGCTATTTGCACTTCCTTGTTTGGTTCATTGGTTGTTTTGATGGGGACAGCTGGAATTTTCTTTATTCACTGTAAGAGAAACTCAAGAGCTCTAGGACACAACAGTGAAGTCAACAGAAGAAATATGTTCTCAATATGGAATTTTGATGGTAGAATCATGTATAAAGACATAATTGAAGCAACTAACAACTTTGATAAGAAATATTGCATTGGAGAGGGAGCTTTTGGGAAAGTTTACAAACTGATGTTGCCAGGAGAGGATAGAGTATTTGCTATCAAAAAGTTGACATGTGAAGAAGATAGCTTAGACATTGAGAGCATAAAAGCTTTTGAAAGTGAGATCAAAGCATTGATAGAGACTCGCCACCGGAACATTGTGAAGTTGCATGGATTCTGCTTGCAAAGATCACACATTTTTTATTTGCGAGTACATGGAAAGAGGAAACTTAGAGGCTATGCTTAAAAATGATGAGGAAGCATTAGAATTGGACTGGCCAAAAAGGGTTAATATTCTCAAGGGTGTAGCACAAGCTTTATCTTATATGCATCATGATTACAACCCACCAATTATTCATAGAGACATATCAAGCAAAAATGTTTTGTTGTCTTCAGATCTTGAAGCTTGTTTATCTGACTTCGACACAGCAAGGTTCTTGAAGCCTGATTCATCAACATGGACAATATTTGCTGGCATATATGGCTATGCTGCTCCAGGTGAGTTCAATATGGTTAATAACATTAATATATTCTTCTTATTGTCAATCATTAGTAAAACGCGTCACTTCATTTTTTTGTTACATGCAGAGGTTGCCTACACAATGGCAGTGACAGAGAAAATTGACGTCTATAGCTTTGGTGTTTTGGCTATTGAAGTGGTTATGGGGAAACATCCTGGCGATCTAATATTCCATTCTGAATCATATGATATTCCTATGATCAACTTCAAAAAGAATTTAGATCCTCGTTTATCACCAGCAAATGAAAAGAACTCAAAGCAATTGGGTTTGATTTGGCATCTAGCTCTTTCTTGTTTACAAGCAGACCCTCAATCTAGACCAACCATGGGAAGAATTGCTCATATCATAGAAAATAGCTAGAGACTGCTCATGATTGATGTGTTTTTGCTAGGTTATGTTTGTCTGCTTTTTTAGGTTGTATTTCAGGCTTCCAGTCTTTTGTCTTTTGTATTTGATTAGTGCGTGTCACTTGACTTTTTTGGTAATTACAATTGGCTTGTTTTGTTTAAAAGAAAGAAAGAAAGAAAAACACCTTAGAATATGCATTTGTCATAGGTGAGGTATCCTTGAGTGAGATTTATCTTACAAAGTCTTGTAATAGATTTGAAACAGTGATCAAGGCTAGAAAGGTTTTTTGATTGTAACGTGGCTAAAAGTGCTCTATTTTGTAAACATGCAAGTTTTAGTGAAAAATCTCAATTGATTTGCTTGAAAATTGGATGTAAGCCAAATGGGTTGAGTTGAGTCAGATACTCTTATGTGACTCACTTTGTTTTTATCTATACTTTTTTTCAAAGGCATATTTGTCATGTCACTCTATTTTCCCCATATATTTTTAGTTTTCAGATTGCAAGCTTTCAAAATTGTTTAGCATAGTTAGAAATTTAAATAAAAAATAAGCTATGTGAGCTTTCGGCTCTGTATTAAGTCATGTCAATAAGGATCATAGTTGAAAAATACGGTCAATTTAGAATATGCAGGCTTATGAACTTGAGCCTTTAAGAGCTATGCCAATTCTTAGTGATAGCTCCGGTGAAGACCCCGAAATAGGCATGTCTCATAAAAGGACCACAAAATGAGTTAATTTATAAGTGTCTAGATCCTTTTTTGACATAATTTTTTTTAAAAATGATCATATTGCCCATCTTTTAACAAAAAAAAATGAATTCCACTACCGATGAATCTTCTGTGACTAGCTGCAGAATAGAGATCCAACATACAGCAATTGTAGCTTCCTAAAAATAAAAAGTGGAAGCTTCAAACGAGAAATGTAACTATATTCTATCCCAAATTTCATTGCAAATATTTGGAACAAATTTTGGAACAGATTTGAGACACTTTTTTGCAATGCAATTCAATCAGTCGCAAAATTTCCATCTCAAATCTCTTGTTTTCAAATAGTGTGTCGATTTAGCCTTGATCGTTCAAACCCTAATTGGATACATGTTTAAAGAGATATGCTTTAGAGGAGGGCTTCACAATAAAAATTTCAGCTCCAACCAATGGAAATTGAATTTAGTGAAAGGAGGTAGTCTATCAAAACATGATAAATCAAGATTTAAATAATTCTCACTATGACAAATGAACATGATTGTTTTTGCCCCAAACACACAAGCATTATTGTCAAACTCTCGAGTTGATTTTACAAATTTATTGTCATGTTAACTTGTTTATAAACTTGAATTAAATAAAATTCAATTAAACTCACGAGTTGACTTTATGAGTTTACTGTGTTTACATTTCTCAGTTATAAAATCATGTCAATCGACTCAAACTCGTTAAATAACATATGTATGTATTATATAAAACTTGATTTATAAGAACAATAGGATCCCGTTTCATGAAAAATAAAACTGAAAAAAGCAAAAACTAATATTAATGCAAAAAGAAAACAAAAAAATCAAAAATAAATTGCCCTATTTTGAAATTTTTATGTTGAGTATAATAATTTATGAATGTAAATAAATTTAATTTTAATAATTTATATTTGAAATATATTTAAATTAAATTATAGTCTCATTTTATATTTTAATTATTTAAATATATACTTTTAAAAGCTATTTATTAATAGAAATAAACTTTTATGAGTTTACGATTCAAGTTTACATTTTGAATTTACATTCCTATAATAAGTTTATTTAAACTCGTGAGTTTAACAACTTTGCATGCAAGTATCTCCCATTTGATAACCAATTGAAGGGTCATTGAATGAGGCAAGGTCCATGAATTCAGTTTGTATCCGAATGCATTTCATATTCATATTCCATATAATATCCGGAAGGATAAAAACCTTTCTTGTTGAGTTAATATAACACACAGGCCATATTCAAACTTTTGGCTTGACACTGGGATCATTTTAGTTTTATGAATCAAGTCACAATTAATTAAGGTCAAGAAAGACAAAAGATAGAACGTACGAGTACGTACTCTTATAATTAAAAAAGAAAAGGAAAAAAAAAAAACAATATGAAGGGAAAGAGAAAGTGAGAAGCATGAGTGCATGGAAGCTGTAGACAATCTTTCATGGATCAAGCAAATCTTAGATTCAAGTTACATGAACCATGTATAAATTATGCAAATAATATGTTAAATATTAAGTTTTATTATATATAAATATTTTTTTACAAATAATGAGGTTATTATTGTCCAAATAAAATTATCATTTTTCTCTTCTTTCTGTTTTCTCTTGCCAGTCAAATAAAAATAGAGAAAATCATATTCCTCCATATTTTTCTTCTCTCCATTTTTTATCCATTTTTTCTCCGTTATTTCTGATCGGCCGAGCATAGCATAAGAGTCAAACTTGGAATGACACTAATAATTTGCTCCATCATCACTCGTTTTCTTTTTCTTTCGCATAACATTTCCATCAAAATCTATGGTTTCAACGGTTGCAGTAAAAAAAAATGTTGCGTTTAGATGCATGAGAGTTTATATTTGAACTTGAACCAAATTTTCATTTAGATACGTAAAAGTCTATAGACTTGAATTTCATCTAAATTTATATTTTATTACAATTTCTTTATAATTTTAAATTTTTTTTAGATCTAATTATTATACACTTTAGCTACTCCAACTCTATCATTTTCTACATGTTTTCAATATGGGCAATTCTACTGGTGTCGCCTATCCTCTCATCTCTCGTCATCGTGTCCCATCAATTGAATAATAGAGGTAAGTTTATCACTTCCAATCCTGTTAAGTTTGTTTCGAATCCTAGCTCATGTTTCTTCTACCTTTACAATTTTTTTATACTATTCAAATAAATAATTTTAAATATATGAAAAATTTTAAGTCTAAAATGAAAGAGACGTTATATACTTACATTAAATAATCCTATTTAAATGACCAAACTTTGTTTTGGAAATTAAAATACTTTTAGGCAGTGTTTGGATTAATGAATTATAATTCAAATTTTAGTTTTAAAATTAAAACTCGTATTTAAAATTCATGTATCTAAAATTATTTATTTGAATATTGTAAAAAAATTTAAAGGAATAACAAAAGTTGGGACTTGTGGTGAAAATGAAAGACTAAGTAGAGTGTCGAGTTTTCTAAATAATAAGAGATGAGAGAGGAGGCAAAAGTGACTATGGTACTAAGAGTAAAAACACAGAAAGAACAGGAATGTTAGGGTGGCTTAAATTTAAAATTAATTAAATATAGATTCAATTTAAAATTAGAAGTAAAATATAATAAGAAACGGATTTGAGTTTGGTTTAAATTTAAATCCATAAATTTTCAGATATGTAAATAGAGAATTTAGCGCAAATTGATCAAATTCAAATCCAATATTAGCAGTCTCTTTCACCGTCGGTCTGCGCTCTACCTTTATGTACATAACATGCATTTGAGGCCCAGACAAATAATGCTTTTATTGAGGGGGCAAATGTGGCTCTAATCTTTACTTATTCAAGCCAAAAAGAGCATGATACTTTTTTTGTTTGCCAGGAAGAAAAGAATGACACTTGATGTTCATACTTGCTGCTTTTTTCAGTTCTTGTTATACATGATTTGTTTAGAAGAGATTGATAATCATTAATATAAAATATTTGTTATGATATATTGATATAAAAAAAATTAGAATTAATTACTTATCTTTTCTTATAGTACTTGTAAGAGTTGGGAATATAGGTCGTATTATATGAATTAGCTCAAATAATCAATCATAAGAGTTGGGCTTGGAAAAATTTGACTCAGATGACCTTGATGAGTTAAGATTGACCCTTTAACCCATATTATTTTTTAAAAAATAAAAAAATAAAAGAGAAAAAGAGTTGAACTTCATGACTTTTGATAAATTAATAAGCAAGGCTTAGCTTGATTGGCTTAGTTTATATATTATTTTACAATATTATGGGTAAATAGTTTTGTTTAGCTTCAATAAATCATGAAGGAATAGAACTCATTATGATTTAGGTGTAGTTTTTAATTCATGAAAAAAAAAATAAATGATCTGCGAGTTAGTTCATTTAATTCGCCAACTCAAATGTTAGGTTGTATTGTAATTTTTACAACATAAGAAAATTGATTGAAACCCACCCAACTTATATTTTTCCTAACCCATATGGTCTGGGTTAGCTTATGTTTACTGGTTCTAGTTCTGGTATGGCTCTAGTTTTGGTAAGATAATTGAAGGTATTTTATAAAGAAAATTATAATCAAGGACCATTGATAACATTTATTACTCTGTAGGATTAAAAGACCTAAATATAATTAAAATTTA